CCTTATATAGGAACCCATCCAGTCTAGCTACGTTGTCCCCCCTTACATACTATGTTGCCCCTTAACCTATTCCCCCCCCAAAAGCATCCTCGTACCAAAATCTCTTTTCAAAAAAATTCGCAAACTTTTAGAAATATCCCGCCCCCCCCCCCCCGGCATCACATCAAAATTCCCTTTTTATGGGAATTCCAATTCCCCCAAAAAAAACAAAACCCCCCGGGGAACACTCTCAAGAAATTTCACCGATTTATCCCTTACAAAAGCCTTTTCCCTCCCCACCCTTTTCCACCAGAGCTTTCACTTTCCCAAAAAAAGACGCGGTTAAAACATCCCCCACCCGCCACTCTCATTATTCTTCCCTTTAACCCCCCCCCAAAAACCCTTTCAAAACCCAAAAGGGCTTGCCCCACGAATTAAAAAAACCTACTCCTCCTTTTAAACATGTTTGTTGGGAAATTTCCAAAAAACCCCCATATCCCTTTTACCCCCAGGGAAAATTTTTTTCAATTTAAGCTTTGTTTAAAAGCCACATCTAACCCTTTTAACGATACGCAGGGGCCCCCCAACCAAAACACCCCTTTTCCATATTCATAAACCATTAACATTAAAATTTTCATACACCCTTTGGCCGTTTTGTTTTCCACCCAGTTTTCCCCCCCTCCCTTTTTTCCCCGGGCCCGGGAGCCCCCATACACCCCATTTGGGACCAAAACCCCCCCCCCCACTCCCAACCCCCCTTTCTGGGGGTTTCTTTTCTCTTTGCCTCTACACCCCCTTCAATCCCCCCCTTTTTCCCTGGTCTTCGTGCTGGAGGGAGGACGTCCGCCGAGTCAACGTGACTGCTGCCCCCCTTCCTCGACATTCCTCTTCCCCCATGTTTGTCTCCTGACCTTCCCAAATTTTGCACCTCCCCCTCTATCACCCCAAAGCCCCCTTTTCACTATTGGGAAAACCGAAAATTTTATTTCTTTCCCCCGACCCCGCTTCCCCCTTTTTCCCCGGGACCTGTTCTCCCTCCCTCTGTTTCCTCTGTCCCAAGGGGTTTTTTTCTGAGTTAGGGAAAATCTCCTGCAAAACCGTCTCAAGCACTATTTTTAATTTTTACATCATTCGTTCCGTCCCTTTTCCGCCTCGGGGTCACTTTTCCCCTGGAGACCATCAATTGCTTTTAAATGCACCCTCATGCTCCCCTCACGTTGGCAATTTCCCCCAAATTCCTCACTCCCCAACCGACCACGCCTACGCCAACCTGGCGGTTTTGATCAGTCACCCTAGGTCCCCCGCCCCCGAAATGTTAAATCCTTTGGGATTCCCTGGCCCCCTCCCCGCCTCACACATTAGCCCCTATGTGATCATAACCAACACACAGTCCCACAAGTTCTACGTTGTCCCCGCCCTAAAGGGTTTTTAAATTTATTTATGTCCTAAATTTCCCCCTTAAAAAACATACGAAGGTACTGGGTTTCCCCAGGGGTCCCTCTTTAGGCTAAAACTACCTTCTGGATAAAACCCCCATAAGCCCCCGCCGTCCACTTGCCCCTTTTTGAGTACGTGTACAGTTTCCCCCCAAAATTCCCAAAAACCCCAAAGTAGGGCACTTCATTCGCCTCGAAAAAAGGCACATTACGTAATTAACATCCCAAATTGGCTCAAACATCGGGCCATCTTTACCAGGAAAGCCTCATTAAAAACCCCATAGCAACATCCGATAATGATCGAGTAATCCTCATAATGTGATGACAGCAGTTTCACGAACATTTTGGTTTGTTTCCATTTTTAAAGGGTACACCGTAAAGGGTTTGCAAACCCCAAAACCCCTTGTTCTGAATAAATTTAGGGCAACAACGTCAACGCCCAAAACTTGATTAATTGTACCCCTCAGTAATTCTAAAGAACATTGTTTTTCAGCCCGGGGTAGCACTTGCGCCTGTCAGAGAGGTGTGCAAAAATCCACCCTACCGGCAGCTGGGGGGAATTTTTAATCATATTTTTTAATTTTTTTACTTTTTATAAATTTTATTTTCCCTTATTTTATTATTATTATTATTATTTAATATTATTTGGCCCAAAACGGGAAAAATATAACGAATTTACATTTCTCGTTTTTTTCTGTGTTAAGAGTAAAAATTTCAGATACAACCTTTAGCCCCCATAAGCTTGATCAACGCTTTTCTGCAAAATTTCATAATAAGACCAGTAAATGGGTGTTGCATGGCAAAATAGGGGAGGTAAGTGCCTCTGTAAGTTTCTCGTAGCAAATTGGGGAGCTTAAATAGGGCGTGCCCCGGGCTCTCTCCCCAAAACCCCACTAGTGTACAGGTTTTTTTTTCCCGGGACAAATTAACTAAAGGCACCTGGACAGCCCAAGTGTGTTTAGCAAAGTACGCCCAAAATTTGGGGAGGTCACCATGGGGAAATTTTTTTTGGCATGTTTTTAATTTTTGGGGTGAACCATACCCCTGAGGGGGGGATATAATACTTTTCAAATAAAACCCCCACAAAAAAATATAAAATAACGCGAATATTTTTGTCGAACTAAAACCCTTCAGGGGGAGAAAAATAGTATATATAGTATTTCAAAACCCCGAACAAGTGGTATTAATCTTTAACAACACTGCGAAAATAGCCCAGAATTGAACCCATGTTGTTTAGGGTAGAAATCTATGGGCCCATGGGGGCCCTTGTGGTTTAGCGGCTTTCCCTTTTTAAATTTTAATAATAATTTAAAAGGGCCCGGGGGGGGTTAGGGGCGTCGTGGAATTTTTCCCCTCGCCGTGAGGCGGGCTAAAAAAAACACAGGTTCGAATTTCCCCCGCTAGTTGCAAACCGAGACAGTAAACAAAAAGAAGATGGGGGAACCCCACTAAAAAAACAACCAAGGGGAGGTAAAAAAACCCGTATTGACCCCAGATACCCCGAAGTGGTTTTGTGCACCCGGAAAGGGTTTGGGTTTTTTAAAAAAACAACCCGGTATAGTTTTTTCCCGGAAGGAAGATCCCTTTAAAAAAACAAACCTTTTGGGGGGGTTCTACGACAAAGGGTAAACCCGAAAATAAACGAGATTGAGGGATGGATAGGTTTTTAATTTTTTCCTTTTGGGTTTTTAAAAAAAAGGGGGGGGTTTTTTTTTTTTTTTAATAGTTTTTTTTTTTTTGGAACAGGAAACCCCAAAGGGAAAAATACTTAAAAAAAAAAATTTTAAATTTATGCATATTAGCCCAAAAAAGGAAAAAACGACGAGTAAAGGTCTGGGGAGGTTTTGGGGGGACCGGTTGGGGGAAAAAAAAGGGGGGGTGGGGTTTCCACAAAAGGGTCAGGGCCTAAAAGTTTTTGTTTTTTTGTTTTGTGTATGACTAAAACAGAAGGGATGTCAGAAGTATCCCTGTTCACGATAAACGAAACTAATGGAATACAGCAAGACGAAACCGGAAAGGCTACAGGGGGAAATCTGGTAGGTACAGGCCTGTTGACAAATGGCTCCTGGAGATTAACCCCACAAGTGCATCGTTATGAGATGGGAAGGACAAAAGACCGCGGGACGGAGTAAAGGTCGTGGAGAGGGGATGGGAGAGGATGCAAACCTCACTCAAGGAGATGCTGGAAATCTTCGGAGAGGGTAATCGAGGCTAGGACCCTGGGTAGCATTAAGAAGAGACTGGACAGATATATGAGTGGGAGGGGCTGGGTGTAATTGGTGTCGTGGGTACGGGAGTAAGTTCTTGGGTAGCTTTGGGAAGGGTGGTTTTGATGGATCTGCCTTGTATGGGTCAGTAGACCTTCTGCAGTGTTCCTTTATTCTATTGTTCTTATGAGAAGGATCTTGGGGTATCATACCGAGCACTTTCCCTGAGACACACATCAACCAAATAACTGCTGCAGCATATGAGCGTCTGGCAAATCTAAGACTAGCATTTCGACATTTAAGTAAGGAATCATTCACGACACGTCAACCGTGTACATATGGAGTACGCAGCACTAGTATGGAACTTACCATCTAGTCAAACTTTTCAAGAAACTTTGAGAAATTGCAAAAAGTTGCAACAAGATAGTCCCGGAGCTAACGGCATGTCCCACAGGACAGCCCATTAGAGAGCTCAACCTGACGACAATAAAGGGGGAGAAGGGATAGTGAGGACATGGTAATGGAGTTATAAAATACTGAGAAAGGAAATTAACAAGGTGGACAGAGCCAGAATGTTTCGAGATGGGACACAACAAAAGTTGAAAACTTAGAAGTCATTTTGGGATGTTAGGAAGTATTTCTTCAGCCTTTGATTGTCAGGAAGTAGAACAATGTACAGAGTGAAGCAGTGGAGTAAGGATCCATACATAGCTTTAAGACAGGTACGATAAGGTTCTTAGGTCGGGAAGAGCATGGACCTAGTAGCGCCCAGCGAAGAGGAAGGGCCAGGAGCTATTACTCGACCCCTTCAACCACATGTGAGTACACACAATACATAGAGGAGCTGTGAATCGCCCCTTCAACCACAAATA